GGCGCCCCCAGCCGGCCCTCCTCGGCCGGGCTCTCGGGCTGGGCGGCACGCGGCGCCTCATCGGCGCGCTCGTACTGCTCCTTGCGGGTCTGGAAGACGTAGCTGCGCCGGTACATGGCTCCTCTGCAGCCTGCGAGCGGGCGCGCGGTCGGCTCTCCGGAAGGCCCCTCGCGGAGCCCGCAGCCTGCTAAATAAACGTCGGGGGGCCCCGGCGCGCTGCTGGGACGTTCCAGAGCCGGTCAGCTGCTGAGCTCCACACTGTGCCCGGGCGCCGGAGAATAAAAGGGCAGCAGCCCGCATTGTGAGCCGGATTAGCGGCCCGCACAGCGCTGGGGTTAGAAGGTTACGCTGCGCAATGAGCTTTTGTTCCGTGATGGCTTTATGATTGAATGTAGGGTCAGGGGACAAGAGAGGCATGACGTTCTTTTGATTAATTCCACTGGCGACTGGGAGGGAAACCCAAGGCGAGCTTGTTAAAGTAGGACCATCTCAGGAGCCAAGGACCGGTCGCTTTGCCTCCACGCTCGCTCTTTCAGTGGAGCTCTCGGTCACATAACTTTGTAACAATACTATTTTTTTTCTGATTACTTAAGCAATTCTTTTTCATAATTATAACATAACATTTAAGAGCCGTCTGTAATAGGGTTCTGAACCGTGGATGCCAAATAAACATTTCGGATGCCACGCATGTCTCCGAAAGCAGTGAGATGTGTGGCAAGTAATTTCTTACTAATACGTGTGGATATTTGTGACGAATCTTCTCTTTGTACAATAACTTAGGAGACATGCGTGGTTATTTTACCAGCATGTCGCCCTGGCTGTCGGGGATCTGGACATCCGTTCGTGAGAGGAGGGGACGAGTAGAGCTCCACCCATGACTCTGCTATTACAGATTCCACGAACTAAGGAAAAATCCTTACAGCCTGAAGATTTAATAAATTGACCGACTCTCAATTAGAGAATAAGGAAGGATTTTTTTTGCCACTATGTTTCATTTTAATTTTTATTATGGAAATAACAGTGGTATTTTGATGACAAGTTTTTTTTTTTAAAAAATATAACTAATAGCTAGGCTTTGACAAATTTAAAAGTAAATTGTGGGTGTTCAAAGAAATGAATACCATTTGATGAAAATGTTCCTGAATATAAATGTTTTGGCACATCTCCAATTTTAAAAATTATTATCAGAAGGGCTGTTTTCTTAAATATAAGGATTAACAGTACCATATAACTATGAACTATATGGATTGCACATACTTATACTACAAATTAAAGTCATAGATATCAAAGATAGAAAAAGAAAATTACACAAGTCTTTGTTGAGTTTGTTATCACTCCAAAAATCCTGTAAGGTAATGGATTCAGGCTAAAATAAATCTACATAAGGTGCTAAGTTGTGCTGGTGGTGTGGTTAATGTTCTACTTTCCTCCTTAAGCCATTTAGATTTTATGGTCACATCAACAAGAACCACATAAGTATTTTTTCTAGGTACATATTTACCGTATCGACGGCACAGCAAATTGATTTCAGGGTCCCTAGAGAGCAAAACCAACATATAACAAGAGTTACAAAATCATTCATTCCCTTTGACATCACGTATCAGTCAGATATTGCTACAGAACTAACTTCCCCCAAAACTAAGTGCCATATAACAAGTGTTTATCATTACACTCCCAAGTCCCCAGGTTAGCTGGATAGGTCTTCTGATCTCCTTCCAACTGCAGGTCTTCTGATCAGCTGGAGCAGCTCTGCTCCAAATGCCCTCATCCTTCTGAACTAGCAATGACAGAAGCACAAGAGCTAACCCAGCCACACAAGGTCATCCCAGGCCTCTTTTTGCATCCTGTCCACTAACATCCCAATTCGGTCAAAGCAAATTGCACCAAGTCAAGAGGCAGGAAGTGCTCGCTTCAGCAGCACGTGTGCTAAGATTGGAACAAGAAGATTAGTACGGCCCCTGTGGAAAGATGACATGCACAAAAATTAAGATTAAATTTTAAAAAGAGGCAAGGAAGAAGGATGGCCCACCCTGAGGCCGTGGCAAGTGTGTGGCTGTGTAACCCTCTCACACTGGAGTGAAGAATTGGGACCAACAACTCAATCTACCACACATAATAATTCCATTTGAGAAAAATATATTCCAGAAACAACAAAAGAAAAAATATTATTTCAATTTAATCCAGTGGAACAGCCACTTAGAAAATATCTACTCACAAAGCGTAGTCTCAGAGAGTTAAATAGTAAACAAGGTCAAGTCACTGACCTCAGGGTGCAGGAGACAAATTCATACCCAACTAATTAAAATACAAGGAAATCCAGCGTAAATTCTAAAACAGAGATCTTAGCAAAGTGCTGTGGTTCTATCAAAGAAGCAGCACTGAGTAGTGTGTAGGTGGGCTAACAAGTCAGAATCCTAGACGGAGAGAACAGCGTGAACAGGAGGTGTGAGAAGCAGCAGAGTGAGCCACATGCTCCCCACATGTGGTGAGGCTCGCATTCCGGGCACAGGCAACAGGGGTCCCAAAAAGGAAAGCTCAGAGGAGGGCTGTCCTTCCAGTCAGGTGGACTGCACTGAACAAGGGCATTATCTCTACTTCTCCCAAGCCCCACCAAAAATGACAGCAAGAACTTTTTTTCTTTTAAAGATAAAACCTCCACAAAAAGAACAAACGAAAGATTACTGTGGACAAGATTTGTCAACAAACTTTCAGAAGGCTGACAGAGGTAGATCAGTGGTGACTGCCTTAGCAGAGTGGAGTGAAACCAAAGCTCCCACAGAGGGGAACAGGAAAGAAAACCAAGCTGGTTCATGCTAGACAATCTCAGAAAAGCTCAGGAATTGGGTGCACCAGATATATTAGAAGGTGCGATGCAAGGCAGAGCTGAAAAACCAGAGGTTAGCTGAGCATCTGGACAAGGAGCAGTTGGAATTTCAGATCTCCACTTCATTTCTGCACAGCCGGGCAACTGACCAGCCCCCATCATGACAGGTGACCTGGAAGTTATCCTCTGGTGAAATTGAATCAGAGAGATCCTGAATTCAAGGTCACCGGGCACAGCCAAGGGCAGAGATGAGGCAATATTAAAAACAAGGGGACTAAGGGAGCAGATGCATGGTGGAGGGTGAGCGGTACCTTCCCTGTTTCTCATTCACCAGTTTGCTCCCGAGATGCTGATCACCTGGCTTGTATTTCCCCTGGCAGAAGATTTGAGATCATTTTCTAGAGAAACTGAATGACTTCAGAGAAAAAGATCTCCAGATACTGAATTTGGAATGTTGACTGATTAGCTTTTGGTCCCAACACGGAACATGGTTGTGTGGTCCAAGGTAATTAAAACTCAAGCCATTGGTCATCAGGCTAAGACCCATTTTATAACAAAGTTTTAGTTGTTGCAGCATGGGATTTCTAAATCTCTCTTCACTTCAGTTTTTGTATGGTTTTTTTTTTTTAAAACAATGTTTTTCCCCAAAAGTATAGATTGACTAAGATTTATATAATTTACGTTGTCCTGTGCCAGGACAATGATGCTATCATGATATCCTGACCCCATCTGCTGATGCTATTAAAAATGTAAATATTTCTTTTTTTGGGGGGGGATGACCGGTAAGGGGATCTTAACCCTTGACTTGGTGTTGTCAGCACCACGCTCACCCCAGTGAGCAAACCGGCCATCCCTATATGGGATCCGAACCCGTGGCCTTGGTGTTATCAGCACCGCACTCTCCCGAGTGAGCCACAGGCCGGCCCAAAACAATGTAAATATTTCTTGTTAGAATTTTACTAGCATTACTAGGGTTCTCATCTCCTAAAGAAAGGAGATTAAGTTGGTGGAGTTTGCTCTTTTCCGTGGCTTTGGAACCTGCTTTGAATTCTGCTTTTAACTGTTTATAAAACATGACAACTTGATGCTAACTCACAGCTAAATTTCCCTTCTACTCGGTCATTTTAGTTTGGGGTCCCCAGAAGCAGACCCCAAGACAAGGATTAAAATGAAGCTAGTTTATTTGTGAGGCGATCCCAGGAAGCACCAGTAGGAAGGTGGAGAGGGAGACAGGGAAGGCAAAGCAGGGGGTGTTATCAAGCATGTTACCACTTCGAGGAAAGGAGACTCTGGGAGATGCTGTAGGCAGAAACAAAATGTCCATGTATGTCAACATTTTCCTACTTTTAAGATCTGTAAAAATTAAATATCATCTATTACATTCATTCTGCTTTTGCTTTACAAATATTTTGAGAATACTTTGTTTTAACTTGCCTTTTGATCAGTATCATAAATACAGTCTTTAATAGGCTCAATTTGTCTTAATGAAGCATTATCTTTAATGAGGGCATTTAATGTGCACATTATTCCGACATGGTCATTGGGAGTCCCATTGATTGGCTCTTTTATCCTTCTAGCACTGTCCCAAATGCTCTTAAAAGCATCTTTGCTTTCTAAATACAAGATATTCTAGATGCATTTGCTTTTTTTTCCTGCCCCAACACATGGAATTGACTTCCATCAAAGGAGTTCTGTTTTCTTTAGGTAAAGAACTGATTTTGAGGCCAATATCTGGGCACTATGGATATATATACAAGTTGGTGGTAGGTAAGAATCCTGCTTCTACTGCTGGCACTAGCCATTGTTAAAAGTGATGGAGCTAAGGGCCGGCCCATGGCTCACTTGGGAGAGTGTGGTGCTGATAACACCAAGGTCACAGGTACGGATCCCTATGTAGGGATGACCCATTAGTGCACTTGGCAGAGCATGGTGCTGACAACACCAAGTCAAGGGTTAAGATCCCCCTACCAGTCATCTTTTAGGAAAAAAAAAAAGTGCTGGAGCTAGGATATACATGGACTCACACCAATCATTGAAATTACTATGCTCTATTTTTCTCATAGTATGTGGGTTCATTGGCCATAAAGACTTTCTTCTAATCTAAGTCTCTAAGAAAAAAAAATGGAAATGAGAAATTAACTGTTGCATTTTTACATGTAGAAATTAATATTGAGGGAGGATTCATATTTATCTTAGAAAGTAGGTGGAAACTAATAATAAGTGCATAGACAAATAAGCAACAAAAACAACAACAAAAAATGCAAGGTAATTAGTAACTCCAGAAAAATAAAA